TGTTGGGAATTTAAGAACCTGGTGCAGGGTCGAAGGTACAACTCTCATGTTGTGGATCCATGGCCTTCCAAAAAGGGCGTTGTACCTTATATCGCCTTCGATCACGTGGAACTTCATTTCTTGGATGGTCCCGGCCACGTTTATCGGCAGAATTATCTCATCTTTGGTGGTTTCACATGCCATATTGAATCCGTTTAGAACCAGGGTTGCGGGTACGATCTGGTCCTATAGACCGAGTTATTGTACGACCTTCAATCTAATTATGTTGGCCGAGTTACCTGGAACAATTAACACATGCTTAACTTTAGTTTTATTCATAAGTACAGATATTACCAGTGCATCATTGTGAGGTTGCATGACCCCTTCTGCATCTTCATCATTAAAGGACAAGGTTCCTATGGGTGTGTAATCCCAAGTTCGAGATCGCTTCTCTCTCATAACCGATGTTTTAGTGTGTTTCAGTACCGGCCTTCAGGATTATCGACTCCACCGATGATCATGTGAATGACGTGCTCAGGTTCTTCCTGATCTTTTTTTTTTACCAAAATCCCTGTTTTTGAAATGGTTCTTGGCTCTGTCGCTTAAAAATTCTTGAAGGTGCCCTTTATTGAATAACCGGGCTACCTCCTCTCTTAGTTGCCGACAATCTTCTCTGTGCCCATGGGTGCCATGATATTCACACATTTGATTGGGGTTCCTCTGAGCAGGATCGGCCTGCATGGGTCGAGGCCATTTAGTGTCCTTGATGCATCCGATAGCCGACACGATGGCGGATGCATTGATGTTGAAGTTATATTCCGATAGTCGTGGTGCTTCCTTTGGTCTGGTATGCCTATTGAACCCATTTCTGTTCATCAGTCCCCGAGACCCTTGGCTTTGAGTATTTCTCTTTTCACCTCGTACGAGGTTACGTGGAAGTTCGTTATCCCGACGATATCCATTGTATGGCTGGTATCGATCCTTGGTTGACCTTGATTCTCGATTGGCATCCCCTTTGAAATCGGCCCAAGTAATAGCTGGGTATTCGATCAGGTTATGTTTGAGCTGTCGTGAAGCCATCGAGCTCCGTTCATTCAGACCTTGAGTAAAAGCTTGAATGGCCCAATCGTCTGTGACTGGTGGTAGATCCATTCGCTCCATTTGGAAACGAGACACAAATTCTCTTAGCATCTCGTTATCCTTTTGTCTAACCTTGAATAGGTCCGATTTTCGTGTCTCGACTTTTATGGCCCCGTCATGTGCTTTTACGAAACAATCTGCAAGCATAGCAAAAGAATCAATAGAGTTAGACGGTAAATTATGATACCATATCATTTCCTCTATTGACAGGGTTTCGCCGAATGTTTTCAATAATACAGATTCGATCTCATCATCTTCTAGATCGTTTCCTTTAATGGCATATATGTAAGAGGTGACGTGTTCGTTGGGGTCGGTTGTCCCATTATACTTAGGAATTTCGGGCATACGAAACTTTTTAGGGATTGGTTTAGGGGCCGCGCTCGGGGGGAAAGGCTTCTGTACGAATTTTTTGGAATCTAAGACTTTCAGTATCGGGGGTGCCCCCGGGATTTGATCGACCCTGGAGTTATATGCTTCCACTTTTTTGTTATTTTCTTCGATCTGTTTTGACAGTTCATCGAACATCTTAACAACTTCGAGATTAGTCCCCGATTCTTGATCGTTTGACCTTGATACAACTGGCTCTGTTCTGCGGATGATCTCTCGGGGTAGAGTAGGCTCCGGTCTGCTCGGTACCTGTGTTTGAATCTGCAACTGGGCTATTGCTACCTGTTGAGCTTGTAACATTTCGAAAATCATACGCAAGCTGATTCTGTTTTCCTCAATGTTATGGGTGTCTCGAGGTGCAGAATCGAGTGCCGCCATGAATGCTATTTTCAGGTTCAGAATGTAGGGTCGCCTTAATAGCCACATGCGAGTTGATGTCTATCGGTACTTCGATTTGAGCTCCAACGGCGTTGATCAGGTTGTTGTTTTCATCTTGAAGACCAGCTTCATTATCGCTAGGTAATGCCATTTGATTTAATCGTTGCTAATCCGAAATTCAATATACTTTCGGAAATAAGCGCAAAATGGCGTATTTTTGCGAATTCGTATCAAATAACCACTGTTATCCTTAGCCCCACGGTGTGTGCCAAACTGTTTACCCGAAAATCGGATGAAGTTGAATTTGTACGTGGTTCTAAAGATATGTGTTATAACTTAATATAAATCGTAAGGATAAATATAATCTTAAATACGGATACTAAATAAACAAGGTTGGAAAGAAGATAATTTCTAGGAATAAGCAAGATGAATCGACGTATGAAGCTTAAAGGAATAACTCTTCAGTATTATGATGCTTTTGTTCCCATGTAAGCCAAGAAAAACTTGCCCCTTACTGAAATAATAACCATCTCCTTTATAGTAGAGGAATCTTACTTTAAATATAATTAAAAATACATAGTGGGAGACCCATGATAAATGAGCTTTTCCATAATTCCTTCCAAGATTCTCTCTTCTAGTGGGATCGCAACGGTTCTTGTCTATGAGCTCGATATTGACTCGAGTTTTTGGTCTTGACTTGGGCTCTCGATCTTGACTTGAACTCGATTTTGACTCGGATCCTTGAATTGATTCGGGGTCAATGTTGGTCGGTCTCTGAATCATAAGCTCTATAACTTTTCTTTGCATCGTAACTCGATTTGGATCCGAACTTGATAATGATATCGAGCTTGACATTGATCGGTCCCTTGGGATTCAAAACTTGTTTGTACCATCTCTGGACCTATCTCGAAGTCCTACTTCGATCCATTATGTTTTGGCCTCGATTGATCGTACGAAGGCCGGAATCTATTTCGACCGTATACATATTTAAAATCAAGGAAAGATAAGATCAAACAGACATTAATTAAGAGCAGAAAAATATAAATATGGATGGTTACTTGTTAGGTTTATGCTCGAAGAGTAACTATGAGAACTTGCAAAAGAAGGAACTCGTGTATTTTCTGTACTGTATAACGTTCCCTTTCTTCAAGTTTCTTAATTAGTTTTATATATTATATACATTGTTCAATATAATACATTCAAACCTCTCTATAACAATTTCGTTTGTTTCAATATTTTTTGGCTGTTATAGTGAAATGCTATTATAGAGGACATATATTATAACATAACATAAAATATCAGTTCCGAGAAAGACTTGGCTTTTATAGTGAATGGTTGTTATATAGGTATGTTGTTATAGAGACAGCTCTACACTGACATCCTGACATACTACGACCTAACCAAACAAAATTACTTGCTAATTAAGTGCAAAAGGAAAACACCAAATTAACCTAGCTAATTGATATTCGGCTAATGCATGACTACCATAAATGTCACTATATTCAAGTATATTTTTGCACCCTCGTTACATAAAATGTCACTAAACAATATTGGTACCATAATTTTAGACTCTTCCATTTCGGCTTTGTTCTTCTCAATAGTTTTAACTTTTAAGACTCAAAAGCATGGTATGCATATTAGAGAATCAGTTTGCAAGTTCGCAAATCATAGGGGTTATTTTCTTAAATAAATTTTTTTTCGAGTAAAAATTAAAGTTGTGGATAAATAGAACAATTGAAAAGATTATTTCTAAAGAGAAGGGGATACATGAAAAGCATTTTTGGGGGTTGAGTTGCCTTAATAGTTAGTAGTAGAGTGCATCCCACTAATTTGCATGCATTTAGCTATGAGTGGACATTTAAGCCCAAACCTATACAATCCGTCCAATCCGCTTAATGTTGAATTCAGTCCATCTTAATCTAACTCATCTCAACTAATATAAATTGGACTAATTTTTAGTCCAAATTAATCCATAAGCAACTTTGCTAAAATATTATTAAAATAATTTTTTTCGTTTGATATGTTATAGATTACCATAACAAAAGGAAAAGATCTTATTTACTACTCTCTCTAATCCACAATAAGTGACCAATTTGCCTTGGGCACACCCATTAAAGAAATACAAAATTCTAGACAAAAATAGTTAGTGTGACTAAACTACCCTTAATTAAATATTGCAGCATAGTTAATGTGAGGAGTAAAAGACTTTTTAGGGATACGTACATAAGGATAATTTTGGAAAAAATAAATTGAATTTTTTCTTGATTATATAAATTGACACTTCGTTTGGACCAAAATAAAATGACAAATTGGTCACTTATTGTGGACCGGAGGAGTAATAAACAATTCATAAGAAAATAACACACATTAACTAAAACTTGGTAAGAGTTTGACGGCTGGGGTATGACCTAAATTTTAGGTCATCTCGAACCAATCCATCTTAGCCCAATCAACTTTTGAGCAGGTCATTTACTCATCTATTTATTGACACGTCTAATTTTCACGCTTCCAAAATCAGTCCAACCCGCATGAGATTTCAATGATGTAGGGTATAATCTGTATAATCGAATTTGGTTAGGTATTAATCACAGACCTCTATTTTACCAAACAAAAATCCTAGTGGTCTTTTTTTACATTAATTAATATGGATACATAAAAGAAACATGGGTTTGGTCTCTCACATGTTTCATTTACCGTCTTTTCTCTTCATTGCGTACAGTAGGGCGTAGGCCAGTAATGGGTAGCTCATACCTAAATTTTTCCACTACATTTTGAACTAAATGCAATGATTTTTTCTGTTGCTTTTAAATACTATGGTTGAAAATTTGTATTCCCAAATAGGAAGCCAAAATTTTAATTTTACGGATTCTAAATTTTAGAATAATAATTTCATGTGCTATTCTAAATTTAATATGGTATATATATTTAATAAGTTTTTTAATATAAATATAATCTTTGAACATAAACTATTAAAATCGATCAAACAAAAGAAAAAGGAAAATATGACAATTGGAGAAATGTGATTTTAATAGTAGTAAAACGTTTTTTGCGTATAGTGGACCGTACCAAAAATAACATTAAACAAAAGTAGCTACCTACCACATTTGTCCGTAAAAATTTCATTTTTTTTGTGTCCAACTCACACTACTCAAGAACAGACTATTGTCTACTAAATTCGAAGACTGTGATCTCGCCGGAAAAACCTCTGGTCGGCTAAATATGTTGTCATCTTCTACATTGAAACAAGTAGTAGTGGGTTCACTTCCAACAGGTCAAGAACCAAATGGGTCCAAACCAAAAGCGGCTCCCTTTTCACTACCAGTGCTCAAGTTTAACAAAACTCTTCAGGTTTTGTTTTCTGATCTTTTAATGCTATGAAACTGATTAAAGATCACATTTTGTTAGATGGGTATTGTACTTTATTGTCAGTTTAATGTGTATTTGGCTTTGATATTGAAGTTAGAACAAAACACTACCACCTTCTCTTCAGGCTTTGCCTTCTGATCTTTTTTATGTTATGTAGCTGTTTTAACTTCATATTTTGTTAGATGGGTAATTGTAATTTATTGTTGGTTTAATGTGTATTTGACTTTATATTGAAGTTTCTAGTTGGCTGGTAGTATTTGCAAGGACTAAGTGGAGTAGCTTTTTTTTTTTGATAAGTTAATGTATTTCATAGAAAGCATCAAGAAGATGCAAAATTCAGAATTTACAGAGCAAAGGAATAGAGAAAAAAGAAGAAGACAATGTTAGCTCTATTGCAAAGGGCCTAATCTAAAGTTAAGGAGCTAACAAAGTCCAACAAAGATTCAGGGGAGTTGACAGGGGAGAGATTACTCCAACTACAAAGACTTGTTAAACATCTAGCCTTAAGAACGTAATTTGGAGTAGTAATGCCTTCAAAGCATCTAGTATTTCTTTCTGTCCAGATACACCAGAAAATGCAAGCAGAGATCATCTTCCAAACTTTCCTGATGGATTTCCCAACCTTCCATGAGCTCGAGCTAACCAGGGCATCTTTAACACTCTCAGGCATAACCCATTTAAGACCAAAAACTGAGATGAACATGTTCCATACATCTGCAACAGCTGTACAATGTAAAAAAAGATGTCTATTGGTCTCTAAGGCATGTTGACACATGTAGCATCTGTTGACTGTGGGGATGCTTCTTCTACTAAGATTGTCTTGAGTGAGCGATGCTTCATAGAGGGCTATCCAACTAAAGCAAATCACCTTTGGAGGTAGTTTAGTTTTCCAAATTAATTTCCACGGCCAATCGATTAACAATTCATTTTGAGTACATTGCATGTAGTAGTCTGCCTTCACAGAGTACGTACCATCGGCTTTATTCCCCCAAATGAGTATGTCCGATGCCGGATCATCCAATAAGACTGTCCCTAGTCTATCCAGCAGGTTGAGAAGATCTTGCAGCTCCCAATCTTGTATGTTCCTCGTGAACAGAGGGTTCCAGGAATAATCAGCTCTGTTTTGTGAAATGGTTGACTGTTTACTTGTGGATATTGAATAGAGGTTCGGAAAATGAGCTTGCAATGTTGAGTCCCCCAGCCATTTATCTTCCCAGAACCTTATTTTTGCTCCATTGCCTACTTTAAACTTGCATCGGTGATAAAACGCCTCCCCTAGCTTGCTGATATACTTCCAAGGTCCTACTCCATATGGTGATCTAGCAACCTTGGTACTCCAGTGATTTTTATTGCCATGTTTTGCAGTTACCACCTCCTTCCAAAGGGCGTGATCCTCTTGTGAATATCTCCACAGCCATTTCATAAGCATGCTCTTATTATGGACCGTGAGATCTCTAATTCCCAGGCCACCATGTGACTTTGGTAGTGTTACTTTTTTCCAATTAACCAAGTGGAATTTATGAGTTTTGCTTCTTCCTTCCCAAAGAAAATTCCTCCTGTATTTGTCTATCTGCTTCAGCACCTTTCCGGGGATGGGAAATAAAGACATAAGATAGGTGGGAAGGCTATCCAATACACTGTTGATGAGTGTGAGTCTCCCTCCCATGGAAAGGTATTGCATTTGCCAGTTAGCTAGTCTTCTTTCAATTTTTTCCGTGACTCCACTCCATATATCAGATGACTTGAACTGGGCTTATCTAATCTCTATACTGAGGATGATGGGATTTGGAGATAAATGGTTAAGGTGGATCAAATTCAGTATTTCAACGGTCAAGTACTCAGTGCTTGTCAACAGAGAACCAACAGGCTTCTTCTCACCCCAGAAAGGGATTAGGCAAGGAGATCTACTCTCCCCATTCTTGTTCATTCTAGCCATGGAGGGGCTAAGCAAGATGTTGGAGAAGGCAAGAGAATTACAACATGTTGGAGAAGGCAAGAGAATTAAGGGATTCAAAATAGGCTCAGATATTGGGAGCTCAATCACTATCTCTCACATGTTGTATGCTGATGACACTTTGATTTTCTGCGAGGTCGAGAAATCTCAAGTTATGTACCTGAATCTAACACTTCTCCTCTTCGAAGCTCTATCAGGATTACATGTCAATGTATTGAAGAGTACAATTTATTCTGTCAATCATGTGCCCAACATAGATGAGCTCTCAGGTATCATGGGCTGCAGTATTGGGTCACTACCTACCACATACTTGGGTCTTCCATTGGGAGCCAAATTCAAAAATTGTGAGGTATGGAATGGTGTTATTGAAAAATTCGAGAGGAAATTAACTTCTTGGCAACTTCAATATCTTTCTATGAGGGGCAAATTAACTCTCATCAATAGTGTACTAGATAGCATTCCAACATACTACATGTCACTGTTTCCTATTCCCAAGAAGGTACTAAAGCAATTAGATAAAATCAGGAGAGACTTTCTCTGGGAGGGTAATAGCAACACTCACAAGTACCACTTAATAAAGTGGGGCAAAGTCACACAGCCAAAACTAAATGAGGTCTGGGAGTCAGAGATCTAGCTGTCCACAACAAATGTCTGCTAATGAAAGGGCTTTGGAGGTATGGAACAGGAGAGTCAAGCCTTTGGAAGCAGGTGATCAATGCCAAGCATGGGAAAAGAGACAATTGGAGTTCTAATAGTTCTAATGCACCATATGGAGTGGTCCTTGGAAGTATNGGGTCCTTGGAAGTACATTAGTAAACTGGGGGATGAATTCTTTCAAAATATCTCTTTCAAACCAGGTAATGGGGCTCACATCAGATTCTGGAAAGACAAATGGCTAAACTATACAGCACTCATGGATGAGTATCCTAGCTTATACCAGATTGCTCTAGACAAAAATTCCTCCATAGCACATAACAGAAATGGCAGTAATTGGGATGTTCATCTTAGAAGGCCAGTGCAGGACTGGGAAGTGGATAGCCTGATGGATATGCTGGCAAAAGTGGAAGGGTTCAATATGGATATGAACCAACCCGACACCATATGTTGGGGGAGAATGGGCACCTTCACAGTGAAAGAATGTTACAGACAGTTTGGTACTCAGAATCAAGTGTTAGATGCATGGCCCTGGAAGTTAATATGGAAGACTAAGCTACCTATTAAAGTCATTTTTCATAACTGGATTGCGCTCAATGAGGCATGTTTAACACAAAACAACCTAAACAGAAGAGGTTTTCAGTTGGTCAACAGATGCTACCTCTGTATGGAGAATGAGGAAACTGTCAACCACCTATTTTTGCACTGCCCAGTGGCCACCGACCTCTGGAACATGTTCTACTGTCTCTCTGATTTGAAGTGGGTCATGCCACAGAATTTGAGAGATGCACACATGAGCTGGAGTTTATGGAGAGTTGATAAGACCATAAAAAAGATTTGGTTGATGATCCCTGCTGCTATTTTTTGGTGTTTATGGAATGAGAGGAATTGCAGATGTTTTGATGGAATCTCAACTCCAAATCACGTTCTCAAAGCTAAATGCTTACTCAATCTTTTTTGCTGGACTAAGTTAGCTACTGTAATCAGTACTGACCAATTAATGAATTTTGTTAGCTTCTTTGTCTTTGACAAGATGTAGAAGGACTAACATGTAGTAGTATTTATGCATTCCAATTTCCTTGTAACGTTACATCTCCTAGATGCCTTTTGTTAATGAAACAACTTACTTCATCAAAAAAAAAACTTTGCTCCCAGCGGAAGCCCCAGATACGTAGTTGGTAGTGTGCCAGTACTACAGCATATGATGTCAGCCAGGCCCTCCAGATTAGAAACATCATTGACAGGATAAAGGACGCTCTTCATCATATTAATGTGTAAACCTGAAAGAGCTTCAAAAATAAGCAAGGTCATATTTAAATGCAGCACTTGAGATTCTTCAGCCCGACAGAAAATTAGGGTGTCATCTGCATATAGCAGATGTGAGACAGTCACTCTATTCCCAGATCTGCCACCAACTTCAAACCCTTTGAACCATTGTAAATTCCTGGCTTTGTTTAGCATGTTACTGAGACCTTCCATGGCAATGATGAAGAGAAAATGTGAGAAAGGATCCCCCTGCCTAAGACCCTTTTGAGGAGAGAAGAAGCCGGCTGGGCTTGAATTAACCAAGACGGAGTACTTCACGGTGGTTGTGCAGAACTTAATCCATTTGTTTCCAAAACCCATTTTCCTCAGCATCATAAAGAGAAAATTCCAGTTTAGCTGGTCAAAAACTTTCTCTATATCCAGTTTGCATAAGAGACCCGCATCCCCTGATTTAAGTTTCCAATCCAGAATCCCATTAGCAACTAAAGATGCATCTGTAATCTGCCTTTCTTTAATGAAAGAATTTGCTGCCCAGAAATAAGTTTCCAAATGACTTTCTTCAGTCTTTCAGCAAGCAGCTTTGCAACGATTTTATACACACTTCCTATTAGACTTATTGGTCTAAAATCTTTGAGTTCCATAGCCTCTTTCTTCTTTGGAATCAGAGCGATGAAGGATGCATTGCAATATCTCTCCATCTGGCCATTTTGATGGAAGTGATTCACGGTGCCAATGATGTCTGATTTGATGATTTCCCATGCACTTTGGAAGAAAGCCATTGTAAATCCATCTGGGCCAGGGGCCTTATCTGGAGCACATGCTTTGATGGCCGCTAGAATTTCCTCTTCTGTGAAATCTTTTTCCAGCTCAATTCTCTCATCTTCTGTGATACTTGCTAGACCCTCAAAATTAGCCGTATGTCTCCAAGGTTCATTCTCAGAATAGAGTGTTTGATAGAATCCCACAATTTCCTCGCTGATCTGATCCTTCTCCTCGATCAAGTCATTACCAATCTTGAGTTTATCAATGTTGTTTTTTCTTCTGTTGGAGTTAGCTATCTTCTGAAAGTATTTGGTGTTCCTGTCCCCTTCTTTAAGCCAGAGGCATC